AGGTTTGATGAATATTTTGATATCCTATCCTACATAAAATGAAAAATCTGAAACTCACAGGAGGTTAATCTGGAGATAACCACATTAAAAGTTTGCATTGCTGAGTTGGCTATAAACATACTCATTGTTTGCTTTTAAACGGTGTCTTTTCTTCTTCTTTTCATCTACCGAAAAAAAGCGAAATAAAAACTAGCTCTTTGTTTATATTTAAATATATTTATTACAAAGACCTGATTATTAGCATGTTGCATGCCAAAATTCAACAACTTACACAGAGGGGTTGCGGGTCTATAGATTGGTAAAGTTCCGCACAACTTTTTAGTGTGTTTATTATACATATTTAGAAGTCGTCCCCTTGTGGGATGCAACTTTTTGTTATTTTGAAGCCCCACCTCGGCTTGTGCCGGGGGCCCTAAGTAAAGCCGGGCCATTATTATGGCCTAGTGTCTGAGCGGCGTTTCCAGGACCACTCCACGGGTGATTCTCATCCGCATGATGGCACTATGTGTCGCCAGGTGTTTATCGCTGGTATGATGTCCTGGTGGGGTACAACTGACCTACCAATCTTTAGTGTGCTTACGCTGACGATGCCTGTTTTTATGTTGGCGGATGTAGTGACTGTGAGCTCTTACCTCGTTTTCACGTCGCGAAGGCGGAAGAGATGTGTAGCAACAGGGTTTCTTTCTGACGGGCAGGCAACAGAAGATATTCTCTAAAGGACTTACTATATGACGAGATTGATGTTTTAAACTTTTTCTTTTTCTTCTTTTGTTCTCTTAAAGTAGATTATTATCTATACCTGCAATTGTGTCTCTAGTATGCACATCACTGTCTGTTATAATTAAATCAGCCACCCGTAAAGTTTGACTTGCACGGGTGTTTCTCTTGCCCAAAAGTGTTTGCCTTGGTATGTTGTAAATGGGGCAGTTTTGGAGGACGTGATCTGTTCTCTCAGATGCTAATCCACAAGTACACATGACTGATTTTTAAAATCCAAAATGGATACGAACAGTTTATTACCTGGCAGGCAGGTAAGATTGACTTGTTACTTAAAACCTTCTCGTCTTTTCAGACGATAGCGTTCTATTGTCTAGGAAGCATGAAAATCACAGCTAATGGCGATGCCGAGTGTGATTAACAAGACCAGGTCACGTTAAAAGGTTCCCACAGTTAGAGCTTGCAAACATAGCACAACGCGTGGGCAAATCTGAGGAAATCTTGTGCTTGTTCTACATCATGTTCCCTCTCTCAGTCTGCATTGCTTAAAAAGATTGACTATAGCATTTTATACATGTCTTAATTGCCCGGCTCTATAGCGTAGTTGGCTAAACCGGATTGCGCGGTGACCGGGTGATGAACTCCTTCTGGTCCGGGTTCACTCCCGGGGGTAGGCAGAAAAGCCACATTTCTCCTAGATTTACGGTATTTATCATGGAATCAAGGCCGAAGCGTTGCGATATCCATAATACCGAGCCAAAGGGTTAACAACTCATGGCTTCTGGATACTAAAACAAACAAACAAACATACATGTCATTAGGGCATTATTAGGCAATAAGTAATACAAATATTCAATGTCACAACATAAGACTTAACTGTGTTAAAGTCAAGGACACTTTCCCTGCCTGCAGACTTATTAGACAAATAGGGCTAGACCTAAACCGGCACTTGGTGAGTGATGTGGTCAGCATTACGCCGGCCGGCTTTCCTTCCCGGTATTGCACCTGGTACCCACCCAACCCTGAATCAACCTGGGAGCTAAGATGAGTTTTGAGAAAAGTCTGGCTCCGTCAGGAAGCAAACCCATGACCTTCCGATCCGCAGGCAAGCTTCTAGCCGCTACACCACGGCGACTCCTACTACTAAGAAATAAGTAATAAAAATATTTACGATACAACATAAGACTTAACTGCTTTAAAATTCATAGAAACAAAATGTACATGATTAATTAAGGAACATCAAATGTTTATAACTGTTTGGGGGTTAAACTGGTTAAATGGTTTGTCATTCAGGTTGTCACTTTTAAAGTCACGTCGAAAGTCAAAATTTAAGGTAGCAATATGAATTGCAAAAAAAGTGTGTGTGTGTGTGTGTGTGTGTGTGTGTGTGTGTGTGTGTGTGTGTCGGCGAAAAAACAAGGGCGTTAGCAGATATAGCTATAGAAAAAATGCTCAATATATTGGAGAAGTTTAGATCATGATTAAGAAATGCATTACACAGGCAAAGCTACATAGATGTCTTAATAAGGATACATTCTTGGCAATCAAAAAAAAAAAAAAAATACACAAAGTCATATCCATGTAATTTCCACGTGTAGGTTCTGGAGTCCTATTGTTGGGGAAACAAGAATAGACCAAGTACCTCCCCAACGAGCATGTCGATTGACTGAGGGCTTCCTTTCGAGGTCAGATAGCACGTGCCCTGAGGTTCCGGGTTCAATCCCCGTAAGTGTTTTGATTTTTTCACGTGGACTCGGACTTAATACCCCCTGGTCTCTTTGTAGTGAGATCGGACTTCTAGTAATACCCCCTGGTCTCTTTGTAGTGAGATCAGACTTCTAGTAATACCCCTTGGTCTCTTTGTAGTGAGATCAGACTTCTAGTAATACCCCTTGGTCTCTTTGTAGCGAGATCGGACTTCTAGTAATACCTCCTGGTCTCTTTGTAGTGAGATCGGACTTCTAGTAATACCCCCTGGTCTCTTTGTAGTGAGATCGGACTTCTAGTAATACCCCCTGGTCTCTTTGTAGTGAGGTCGGACTTCTAGTAATACCCCCTGGTCTCTTTGTAGTGAGATCAGACTTCTAGTAATACCCCCTGGTCTCTTTGTAGTGAGATCGGACTTTTAGTAATACCCCCTGGTCTCTTTGTAGTGAGGTCGGACTTCTAGTAATACCCCCTGGTCTCTTTGTAGTGGGATTGGACTTCTAGTAATACCCCCTGGTCTCTTTGTAGTGAGATCGGACTTCTAGTAATACCCCCTGGTCTCTTTGTAGTGAGATCAGACTTCTAGTAATACCCCCTGGTCTCTTTGTATTGAGATCGGACTTCTAGTAATACCCCCTGGTCTCTTTGTAGTGACATCGGACTTCTAGTAATACCCCCTGGTCTCTTTGTAGTGACATCGGACTTCTAGTAATACCCCCTGGTCTCTTTGTAGTGACATCGGACTTCTAGTAATACCCCCTGGTCTCTTTGTAGTGAGATCGGACTTTTAGTAATACCCCCTGGTCTCTTTGTAGTGAGATCGGACTTTTAGTAATACCCCCTGGTCTCTTTGTAGTGACATCGGACTTCTAGTAATACCCCCTGGTCTCTTTGTAGTGAGATCAGACTTCTAGTAATACCCCCTGGTCTCTTTGTATTGAGATCGGACTTCTAGTAATACCCCCTGGTCTCTTTGTAGTGACATCGGACTTCTAGTAATACCCCCTGGTCTCTTTGTATTGAGATCGGACTTCTAGTAATACCCCCTGGTCTCTTTGTAGTGACATCGGACTTCTAGTAATACCCCCTGGTCTCTTTGTAGTGACATCGGACTTCTAGTAATACCCCCTGGTCTCTTTGTATTGAGATCGGACTTCTAGTAATACCCCCTGGTCTCTTTGTAGTGACATCGGACTTCTAGTAATACCCCCTGGTCTCTTTGTAGTGACATCGGACTTCTAGTAAAACCCCCTGGTCTCTTTTTAGTGAGATCGGACTTCTAGTAATACCCCCTGGTCTCTTTGTAGTGACATCGGACTTCTAGTAATACCCCTTGGTCTCTTTGTAGTGAGATCGGACTTTTAGTAATACCCCCTGGTCTCTTTGTAGTGAGATCGGACTTTTAGTAATACCCCCTGGTCTCTTTGTAGTGAGATCGGACTTTTAGTAATACCCCCTGGTCTCTTTGTAGTGAGATCGGACTTTTAGTAATACCCCCTGGTCTCTTTGTAGTGAGATCGGACTTTTAGTAATACCCCCTGGTCTCTTTGTAGTGAGGTCGGACTTCTAGTAATACCCCCTGGTCTCTTTGTAGTGAGATCAGACGCCCATTGTGCATTGTTTCGCACGTGAAAAAATCGCTTGCCAGTTGGAAATAAAATAGAGTCGCATAACGGCAAAATGCCCGGGCAAAATTTGGAGTTTAAAATCTACTAAAAGAATTCAGGATCATAGCCAGTGCTACAGAGCCTGTGCATTGTGCTGAGCTTTTTCGGACTCAAATTTGAGTTAGAAGAAGACGGAGCACTTATGGTTTACTACCCGTCTGCCATGATGTTGATCAGTTGTTCAAACTTCAAACCTCAAACTCAAATACGCAGACTCAGATAGTATCATTGAGATAGGCTGGTTTTCTTGCATTAATGTTTAAAATAAACCACATTTAACAACGAGCTAATTATTGGGGAGGGGGGGGGGCAGGACCTGAGCAGCCAGGTTCATTTTTTATGCGGTGAAAAAAAAATTTAACTAGCCAGAATGTTACAGAAATGGCGGAATGATGGTGCTAACACGATATACTGAACTGAATGACTCTAAAGCAGGGGTCCCTATACTGGAAAGGGGGGGGGGGGGTGGGGGGAATAAGTTTCACTGGGAGCGCAGTCAATTTTGAAATTGAGGGAATTTGTAATAATCTGTCCTACTGGTTTTTTTTCCGGTTCAAGTATAATAAAATATTTTGTAAAACTATTCATAAAACAAAAAGCCAAGGACATCTCTTGTTTCCATGAGCAGTTTGTAAATCTACAGTTAACAATCTAATTAATAGGGTAGCATGGCCATTTATAGAATAAGAACACATTCTGACCAAAACGTCTCTCCGTACTGTCTGTTTCTCTTGTTGTGGAATCCATTGCCCTCCTCTTTTTTAATCAGATTTTGTTACTTTGGAGGAGGAGTGCGTGGGGTCTTGCCATATACTCGCGGTTCGGGGAAAAAGAGGGGGGGGGGGAGGTTGAAGACCACTTCTCTAAAGTAACAGAAAGGGTTGGAGTCTCCTAGGGAACATATGAACGTCAAAGTTCATTAAGACAGGTTCTAAGTTTCCTATGCAAGTCACCAGAGATTGTCCATGAAGACAATACGAGAATGTTCTCCTCAGGAACTGAACTTAGAACCTCTGGAGGAAGGCTGTACTGTGAGTCTTCATGAACTAACACCACCACACGGGCAGGATTGGCCGGAGACAGTCCATATATGGCAGTTCTTGTTGTAAACATGGCCCATTCGTCCTCACGGAGAAAGTTATCAGTGGCTACAAGAATTATCCTCCAACAACCATTTATAGCATCTACAATACTACTGGCCCTGTCAGAACGTGGGTCGTTATCACGATTGTATACATAAGTGGTGAGATTCAACTCTTTTTCTATAAATTTTCTTAGAACAAAACATGGAAAGTTGTAGTCGTTCTCTGAATACCCTATGTAGACCCCGGTAGGGTAATCATCTGGTGTCTTCAGCTTGTATCCAGTCACTATCTGCAGAATCTTTGACCTGATGAACGTTTTGTTTTTCCACACGCAAAAAAGTGCAAGAAACCCAACAGCAATGCAACACAGGAGAATTAAAGAAAGGGATAAAAATGTTCCACCCCAACATTTGCGCCACAGTGTGTCTATGTCATCAGTAATATATGACAGTTGACCATCGTCGCTTAAGCAAGTGAATTGTCCACCATCGTCCAGGTTAACACTTGTAGTCTGCAACCAAATTAAGAATCTGAGGTTGTTACATCCACACGAGAAAATGTTTCCTGCTATAAGCAGTTTAAACCCTACTGAGTGTGTGGCTAGGCTGTCTATGTGATCTATTTCATGCGATTCCAATGTTGTCAACGAATTTTCACGCAGATCCAGCGTTCGGAGTTTTGGAGTGTGTCCTAAATTAAACGGGACATTTCTAAATCTATTTCTAGACAAATCTATGTGTTCAATTTGCTTATTTGACTCAAATGTACCCGTTTTAAAATGGTTCAAAAGGTTATATGAAAGGTCCACTCGCCTTAGGTCGAGCAGTTTCTGGAAGAGTCTAGCACTCTGATTGGACATAAAGTTGACATCCAGATGAGAGTTGGATAAATCGAGTTCAGTAATATGGCACATTCCATCAAAAAATGTTTCCGATAAATTTGAAACATCATTTCCAGACAACAAAATTATCTGCAACCGATTAAAACCAATGATATTTCCAACAAAATCTTTCATACCGCAATCTCTAATGTCTATATAACGCAGTCCGCTTCCACCCACAAATATAGTATTGACGTTTAAAGTGCCCTCTGAGATTAACCCTTTTCCTTTAAAATATGTCACTGATTTTGACATGTAAAGTCGGAGGTAGCCAAGTAAATTGTTTTCCTCTGGTAGTATAGCAGATGGGCACTGAGAGTTAATATCGTCATCAAACGGAATTTGGGGATACCTCATATTTTCTTCAGAAAGAATCTCCTCAAAGCTGTCCCGGTGACGCAACATATGTGCGATTAAAGCTTCATCCACTTTTGTCTTACTAGAAGCAGTCGCGGATTCGGTTGATTCGTAAGAATAACAGCTTGCAGTTTGTGTCGTGAACGAAGAGAATGAAACGTCTTGTTGTCTACTGTTTGTCGACAATGAATCTTTAACATAACAACCTGCATGGTCATTCTCTAGATTTATTATCTCAATATTATAAAAGTATAGGAAAATAGAAAAAGCATACCTACTGCCGAGAAGTCTGTTAGATGATAAGTCGAGACTTCGTAAACACGTTTTAAAAACGTCACTAGTAAATGTGTTCATTTGTATGACATATACATTACTTTCGGTTAAGGAGAAGTGCTCCACGCATATGTGCAATAAATATTGCGTTTTCTCAGCGTTAAGTATTCCCTGGTTGTCGTAAATGCTTAAAGCTTTATCATGTGGATTGACATACACTCGCGAGAAAGATATCGATGTCATATTTGTGCCTGTTAGCGGTTTCAGAATCTGAAGAGATTTTTCAATACCAATGTACACTCTGTTGACTCTAAGAATATCTAAATTTTGAAGTGGTTCAAGGGCAGTGTCTGTAAAATTAGAAATAGAATTAAGATCATTAATTACGAGTTCTCTTGTGTGAGGAACATTTCTAAAACTTGAATGATCAAAAACTTTCACATTTCCAGTCAATACTAACTTGGTCAAATGTGTGAACATTTTGTCTAAACTAAAAATCTCACCTACAGCGTCCACGGTTAAAAATGTTAAGTTATCAAGTTTCCTAAATAAATTTCCTGGTTGACCGTATTTTAATTTATTCTTCTTGACAAGTAGCGAATTTACCTGACGAAGAGGATCAAATATTCCAGGAGGAAATGAGCGTTCGCTGAGATGATTGTACTCAAGATTGAGAATTTCCAGGTTTATCAATTCCTTAAAAGCGTTTTCCTGTATATGTCTTATATTGTTGTTTGATAAATCGAGAACACGAAGTCGTGTCAGAAAAGAAAAGCTTCTGTTATCCACAGTTTCTATGCTATTTTTATCGAGTAAAAGTATAGTGGTATTGTGTGGAAACCAATTGGGACTGACATTTACCAGTGACATTCCAGTGCAATTGACTATTGTTTCCATGGTACAGTACAGTACAGAACATGGACCCGGCTGGAGAACTTCGCTATAGGATTCTTGTCTCAACTGAGATGTTTCATTTCCGTTACGAATTTGTTGAAACTTATGTTCTGTGTTACCTTGCTGTAGACTTATCAGATTCTTTTTCAGTTCCCATTTAGGCTGAACCATATAATCTGCCTGAGGTTGTAGTGGTAATTTTGCAGATTCATTCTTTGGAGTGAGAACACTTTCAGAGTGATGCTGGGTCAACATAAATACCGATATACCTATATAAAGTACTAAATACATCGTTCGTCTTGAAGAATCTTGCTTAGAGTAGCATCCGTGAAAACGTTTCTTACATAAGACGTGATTTACTTGCTGTTACTTGCTTGTTGTTACTCCCTTGCTGCTACTTCCTGGCTATTACTAGTTTACTGTTAGTTCTTTGCTGTTACTTGATGGCTGTCACTTGCTTTGCTATACTTGCATGTTGTTACTTGCCTGTTTGCTGTTACTTGCTTGTTGTTACATGTCTGTTTGCTGTTACTTGATGGCTGTTACTTATTTGCTGTTACTTATTTGCTGTTGCTTGTTTAAAGTTAATTATTTTGTGATACTTGCTGGTTTTTGCTTGTTTGAATGTAATTATTTGTTGTTTCTTGTTGGTTGTAACTTGCTTGATGCTCATTCCTTGATGGTTTTTTTTTTCTTTTGGTCTTTCTGGCTGAAAAGATTTTACTGTTATTTGTTTGTCGTTATTTATTTGTTGTTATTTTTTTGTTGTTACTTGTTTGTTATTACATGTTTGCTGTTACTGTTTGTTGTGACTTGCTCGCTGTTACTTGTTGCTCTCACTTGTTTGCTGTAACTTGTTGCTCTCCCTTGTTTGCTCCCACTTGCTCGCTGTTACTTGTTGCTCTCACTTGTTTGCTTTAATTGTTTACTCTCACTTGTTTGCTGTTAATTGTTTGTTGTTACTTGTTTCCTGTTACTTGTTTGTTGTTACTTGTTTGCTCTCACTAGTTTCCTATAATTGTTTGCTGTTACTTGTTTGCTCCCACTTTTTTTGCTGTTACTTGTTTGCTCTCACTAGTTTCCTATAATTGTTTGCTGTTACTTGTTTGCTCCCACTTTTTTTGCTGTTACTTGTTTGCTCTCACTTTTTTTGCTGTTACTTGTTTGCTCCCACTTTTTTTGCTGTTACTTGTTTGCTCTCACTTGTTTGCTGTTACTTGTTTGCTCTCACTTGTTTGCTGTTAATTGTTTGCTCTCACTTGTTTGCTGTTACTTGTTTGCTCTCACTTGTTTGTTATTAATTGTTTGCTCTCACTTGTTTACTGTTACTTGTTTGCTGTTACCTGTTTGCTGTTACTTGTTTGCTGTTACTTGTTTGCTGTTACTTGTTTGTTGTTAAGTGTTTGCTGTTACTTGTTTGCTGTTACTTGTTTGCTGTTACTTGTTTGCTGTTACTTGTTTGCCGTTACTTGTTTGCTGTTACTTGTTTGCTCTCACTAGTTTCCTATAATTGTTTGCTGTTACTTGTTTGCTCCCACTTTTTTTGCTGTTACTTGTTTGCTCTCACTTTTTTTGCTGTTACTTGTTTGCTCCCACTTTTTTTGCTGTTACTTGTTTGCTCTCACTTGTTTGCTGTTACTTGTTTGCTCTCACTTGTTTGTTATTAATTGTTTGCTCTCACTTGTTTACTGTTACTTGTTTGCTGTTACCTGTTTGCTGTTACTTGTTTGCTGTTACTTGTTTGCTGTTACTTGTTTGCTGTTACTTGTTTGCTGTTACTTGTTTGCTGTTACTTGTTTGCTGTTACCTGTTTGCTGTTACCTGTTTGCTGTTACTTGTTTGCTGTTACTTGTTTGTTGTTAAGTGTTTGCTGTTACTTGTTTGCTGTTACTTGTTTGCTGTTACTTGTTTGCTGTTACTTGTTTGCTGTTACTTGTTTGCTGTTACTTGTTTGCTGTTACTTGTTTGCTGTTACTTGTTTGCTGTTACTTGTTTGCTGTTACTTGTTTGCTGTTACTTGTTTGCTGTTACTTGTTTGCTGTTACTTGTTTGCTGTTACTTGTTTGTTGTTAAGTGTTTGCTGCTACTTTTTTGCTCCCACTTGTTTATTGTTACTTTTTGCTCTCCACTTGTTTGCTGTAACTTGTTTGCTCCCACTTGTTTGCTGTTATTTGTTTGCTGTTACTTGTTTGCTGTTACTTCTTTGCTGTTACTTGTTTGCTGTCACTTGTTTGCTCTGACTTGTTTGCTGTTACTTAGGCTGGACAGGCCTAAAGAACGAAAACATTAAGTTCAGCATGTTTGATGACCAGCAATGGTCAGTCAGTCAGTCGTATCATGTGTGGAAAAAATACACTTGTTCTGACACAGTTGTGCTTGATACCTGTGAAGGCGAAAACGAAGCATGCAATTAAAAAGACATATGCTGTTTTTTTTTTAAACACAATCAGCACAGCAAGCATATGGTGCTAAAGTCACATTTGTATAGACCGATCGGTACTCAGTGGGTGAAAAGCCACAAGTGACCAAAACAGATTTAAGTCAAGAATGATGTCACAAAAGTCAAAAGTCCGCATCAAAGCACTACTTTCGTACATTCAAGAGCAGGAAGGAAATATGAATCACTCATTTAAAGAGAATGTCTTGTGATGCCAAAACATACTGTTTTTATTTCTCTTCTTCTCGTTCAATGGATGTACACTCCGGGGAGACGTTCTGGTTGTTCGTCCACTTTAGGACTTTAGACTTGTTCCAGAACATGAGTTTTGCGTGCACATCTATTTTAAATATCTGGTTTACTTTAATGCAGACTGTTGGTTCCCCGCCCCTCAGGCAGAAGCACTTAGATTTCGAAGGAAACATATGTAGTTAGTGGACGCTTATAACATGCTTATTAGGGAGGCAGTGGATCTATATCTCTCCCCCCTCACCCCTCCCTTTGTTTCCGCAACGGAACCCACGCGGAAAGAATACCATACTATACAATACAGAGCAGCAAAAAAAAAAAAAAAGAGAGAGAGAGATAAGCAGAGAATGCGATAGAAAAACAACAGAATCAATTTTCTGTTGTTGAACGAATTAAGAAGCCTAAATTGTCATCACTGCACTTCAGACATTTCCACACGTGCTCTGCCTCCCTCGTCATTGTTGCCTTTGATTGAGGCAGCCAGCATAACGAGAGCCAAAATCTTGTATCTCCTTCAACACCCAAAGGAGGAAATCAAGAAGAGTCTTGCATGACTAGTCACGTACTAAAAAATTAATGTAATCGCTCACAGACTGGAGCCTCGATGAAGAAGGGGTTGGATTATCGCCTGCCCTAAGTTACACCTTTACAAGTTGTCACGAACTTGGAAATGATCCAGCACCCTCATGTTATAGCGCGATGAGCCACTTTCAACAGTTGCGGTCTTACTAAGAATTTACGTTAAACACAAGAAACACGTGTTATGTTATAGGTTGATTTGTACATGAGGGTATCGGCAGACGTTAACCACCCACTGCACAAAGCTATATACGACACAAAATGAACGCGTCTCAAAAGAGGCTGCTCTTGGATGGCAAAGGCTGAGGATTTAATCCAGCAGGTATGGGACCTAGACGTGATCAGTCATGGAAAAGAATGGACGAATACACCAGTACACATGCATGGCATCTCTAATGTTGTCATCACACTCGGAAGATACTGCCGGGATCAAATTCCTGCGGCCGTAGACCCAGAAGTAAGAAAACTGATAGATCAGCATTCAAACCCTGAAGATATCATCTGTACACAGATGGATCTGTGAAGCGCGGATCAAGATCAGCATAGGCATACACAGCGCAAAGAAGGGGGAAAACAACAAAGGAGGACAGCGGCGCTTACCAGACAACCACGTCAAGCATGACCATGGAAATAGCCGCTGCTTCTAAAGCTTTAGCATGGGTATCTGAGCAAACCGGCACACCGGCAGTCATTGTATCAGATTCCATGATATGCTTCAGAAAGTAGCAACAGGCAGTATGCGCTCTGAATGGGTAGAAAGCATTCAAAAATCGCACTTAACCTCTGTAACCTGGATCTACAGACAGGGTCATAAGGGTGTAAAGGGAAATGAGCGAGCGGACCAGCTGGCAAGCAATGCACTAAGGATTACGGGAAAAAGCATGGACAGAGCAGATATCGCCAACGCTGTACGGACTGGGCTAGTGGATAATGAGGAATCCCTGACGATAACACGATTGCGTGACATGGGAGTAAAGCATGGTGAAGCACGACTTTGCCGTCCTCAAGACCAAAATAGGAGACAATATAACCAGCTTCTCATGGGAACAATTAGTAGAAGGACTTTGGAGTGGCTACTGCAACGGAGGACTGGGCGCGAATGGGAATGCCTAATGTGCAGTGACGTCGATTGTGATAACATGAAATAACATAACATCTTGTAGGGAATCGGCAGTCCGAAATCCAAGTTCAAGGTGTCTCCTTCGTGCCAAAGAACTGCATGGCTGTTGGGTGAACAGTCGTTAACGAAGGCAGTCAGGTCGTTATAGGGGCGACGCTTGCTGGTGGATGTAATGTCCTAAGCCCCTTCCCCAGCTAATAATGAGGGTACTGCTGGGGTGACCGTTTCTTAACCCTCAAATAATGCTTCAGGTCAGAATGGACGCTAGGCCAGACGGTCGCCGTTGCATTTTTGCTCCATTTATAGACTGGAAGGATATAGTTTCGTTGCCTAGCTTCTGAGTTAAGTGCATGGCGTAACACTGTGAGCTGCGGATTTCATTTGAACTGTAATAAACATTTTTTTTTAGTTGGCACAGGAGCGGAGCAACTATAGGGCGACCCGTTTGCTATGAAGCTGAAACTAAGATTACCAGATACAAAGTATGCTTACTACGCGGGACCTCTGAAGTGATGCTTGACACTGCGCACGGATCATACCTGTCTCAACCTTCTCACAGCATGCTCTGTGAGTCAGTTGCAATCACGGCATGTGTGTACAGCTGATTCTCAAGCCAGCAGACTGCAGCAGAGACTGCCTCCACCTCCATTCTCAAACTAGACGTTGTGATACTATATGCCAGGCTTCGTTGCACTAAGCGACGTCCATTCGCTTTTGTTGTGAACCCCTATACACTAGGTAAGAGATGGAGATTTGCTTTGTCGGGGGCAAAAATTTAGATAATAG